AACTTTTCAGCAAAGGATGATTCTTTCACAATCCTTCCTTGTTGCTTATGTCTCTTTTACTAAGGATTCTATTCTAGCATCTAAACTGCTTATTTATTATTTGTGAGTGCTTACTTAGTATTTCAGAAGGGACCAGTCCCTAGAGAAGGACATCATGCTTGGTAAAGTAGATGGTTAGCAAAAAAGAAGAAGACCTTCAAGGACGTGGATTGGCACGTGACTGTAACCATGGGCTCAAGCAAAGTATTGTGAGGAGGCAGTGTTTCATACATGAGGCTGCTATGAGTCAAAATGGAATAGACAGCACCTAACAACACCATGGGAGCTCTGGTAGCTCAGTGCCTAAGGCACTTGACTGCTAACCAGAAGGCTGTCTGTTAAAACCCACCAGCCACTCCTCGGAAGGAAGATAGGGCAATATACTTCCATAGTGATACTGTCTTGGAAACCCAAGGAGGGGTCTCTATGAGTCGGGTCCAACACAAGGGCACATAACAGCAACAACAACACCACCATAGTGCCTTCAGCACCAGTCAGTCTGTCACTTGGTTGTACTGTGGTGGCTTGAATGTTTCCAAGATAACAGAAGTTATGTCATTAGTATTTTGAATACATGGTGGACAGGTTTCAGTGGAGCTTCCCAATTAAGACAGGCCTGTTGGTCTACTTCTGAATATTAGTCAAAGAAAACCCCAGAGATCAGAACAGAATATTATCTGACTGGACTGAGGCATATCAATGATCGTGAAGGTGGAACGGGACTAAAAATATTTCGTTTCATTGTACGTAAGGTCACTATGAATCAAAACTAACTCAACGGCAGCTCACAACAACCTGTTGTTGTTGCTATTGTTATGTGCTGTTGAGTCGGCCCCGACTCATAGTGACCCCCCCTTGGGTTGCCGAGGCAGTATCACTACGGAAGTAGAACCTAGTGCTGGATATTTGGTGTAAAAGACCTTTCAGTCAATGTAGAGGTGGGATCCTGCACAGGTAAAGTCTGTGAGTATTAAAGTCCACTGAAACAGCTGGTTGCATCTGGGACCCAGAGAGTTGCAACTGGGGCCCAGAATTTTACATCTAAGTTATTCTTGCATCCTTCTTTTGTCCTTTTATTAGTGCTCCTTAGCTCTGAGCTAGCCTCCTGATCATCATCAAAGCATCCTGCTTATGCTCTGAACCAGCAAGACTGACGGGCACATTGTTTTGTTTTCACTACTCTGTCACCTACCATTTTGGATTCAGTTTTACTCCTGGTCTTCATTTACACACACTCCCATTCATTTTCCATTCCTAATGTCAAATTTGGTGAGATCCATTTGGCTTTTCACTTTTCCTCACTTACTTTCAAGTCCCCATTAAGTTTGTAAATGATTAATGCCTTGGGGCCATACCTCCACTATAGATCAGGATGATGAATACATAATCACACACAAAACACATCCCATAAATGATTATGAAACGGAAATGAGTAGTTAGAAAATGACATGACTACATAATAACTTTTAATGATGAAAATTCAACTATGTACTAAACAGAGTACATTAAACTATTTACTTCCCAAGAGAAAAAGCATTTTATAGGGTTCTATCCAAAGGCAACACAACTTCATAACTGAATAAGTTACTCTTTTCATTCACATCTTTCAATGACTTGATAGATACATAGTCCCCATGATTGTGATTTCCAATTTCTGGTCTGCCTTTCCTGGTTGACTGCAACCTTGCTCCCACCCTTCTGCCCTTTGGTCCAGCCAAAACAAATTGCTAGCAGGCAGTTTTCAAACATCTTTTGGTATTTCCTGTCCACATACATCTATTAATTGTTTTTTTTTTTTTTTTTTTTTTTCTGCTTAGAAAGCTCTATCAATTGTCTCCAGCCTAGATCCTCATCAACATTCTTCCCTTTTATATGCCTGGCTAACACCTTGCATTTTATGGCCTTAAGCAATGTCATCCCCCAAATTTCTTCTCTAAATAGAAAGAACACTTCCTCTAGGAAAGCAGTGTAATCATACCTACACATTGTCTCCAGATTGCTGCATAGATAACAATGCTTGGTTTTACTCAACTCTATACATTTCATTACTAAATGCAGGTTCATTTTTTCTCAATTATCTTCTTTTATTTAAAAAATTATAAATTGCACAGAATCTTTAAGATAGAATTTCATCAAGAAGGACCTAAAGAACTCAAACAGTTGTAGTTTTAAGTACATAGAATTAGTGAATAAGTTGTTTTGTTGTTGTTAGGTACAACTGAGTTGGACCCTGATTCATGGTAACCCCATGCACAATGGAACACAATGTTGCCCAAACCTGCACTATCTCCATGATAAGTTGCAGGTCAGACAGTTTTGATCCATAGGGTTTTCACTGACTGATTTCTGGAAGTAGATCACCAGACTTTTCTTCTTAGTCTTAGTCTGGAATCTCTGCCAAAACCTGTTCAATATTATATCAACACACAAGTCTCCAATGATAGACAGGAGGTAGCTGTGCATAAGATGCAATGATTATGAACTGAACCTAGATATTGTGCAAAATAGGTGAGAATTCTACCACTGAGCCCCCTATATCTCATAGTAAATACATAACAACTCCAATAAAATGTGAGGGAACAGGTTTTATTTCTATATACCTATGTTTCTCTTCATACACTCATGATAAAAGGCAGGCAGTTTATTCTCAAAGGGCCTTACACACTCCCATTATATAGTCATCTATTAACAAAACTCTTTTGACATACAACAGAAACAATAACCTTCACTAATTGTATATGGTTGCTCTCAGAGCATGTAGAGATGTAAAGTAGATATTTTCATCTTTATGCTTTCAATTTTGCTGTTTGAGTGGATGTCTCAGGATGTACAACTGTCTCTAACCCTCCATCTCTGCCTAACATCCAGCTATTTGATGAGCTGTAATAGCCCATTTTAAAGTAGTAGCTTCTTTAAGAAAATAATTACAATGTAAATTAGTCTTCAACAAATAGTAAGGTACATTTAGGAATTAAACACCTAGGTATCAAAGTTCTATTTCCTGATATATTTAAAACCATTATATAAGTTTAACCATAGCCAATCAATCTATGCACCTAGAAATATCATTCTTTCTGTTGCTAATGAAGGTCCTACGGCACAAATTTATTAAGGTATACGTTTGCATGGGATAATAATTGGGTCGATAATATTAAATTCATAAGCTCATTATTTAATTGCAAGGGCAGATTATGAATACAGCTTCTAAAATGTATTTTAATGAAAAACACTACATCCTGACCTAATCATTTCAACCTTATGCTATCTAATTAAGGATGCAAAAAATCATTAGGGTTGCAAAATATTAGCTCCAGCTCCATCAGGCTGTGAGCTGCCCCTTCATGAATATATATTTTTTACTCCATGATAAATAGTTAATGAGGTAAAAATGACAAAATTTGCATGTAGGCAAATTAGTTTAATAGAAGGATGTCTTTTGTGACTACTGAAAGTGACCTTTTTCTTATCAAAAAATGGCTAAAATACTTTGAAATTATCATCTGGCTGTCTTTTCTCAAATGACAAATTTTATGTATGGACAATGTAAAAATTAAAAAATGCAATAACCCTAAATTCTCATCACACTCTAAATGTGTTCTGTGCTTTTGCATTTATCAATTTAATAAAAAGAAATTAAGCATATTATAAAGTGTTCATTTATGTGCCAATTTTTAATCCAGAGCATAAAAATGAGAAGCATATGCTTAATAGCTAGCATTATGTCAAAGATCTAGATCAAATTTTTAAACCACAAGAATTCTAGGCTACTTACTTGAACTACATTTATATTAAAATGTATATTCTACCCATTTGCAGCCTTTTTATATTATAGTTGATTGATCTCAATTAAACTAGCATTCTATCTTAAATTAGTACATCAATTATTCAATAGGGGTGCCTTACTTCCCTATTGAAGTAAACTGAACATGCAAATGTAAGAAGACAGTTTAAGAAGAAAAGCAGGGCATGAAAAAACATAATAAATAAATGAAGTATATGCCTATTCTTTTAAGTGTGGGAATGTTTTTGTGTAGTTAACAAACAAAATTCCAGCAGCAACAAATAACAGATGCTGTACAGATGTTCATGGAGTCATTGGTGGTTCAATGGTAGAATTCTCACCTTCCATGCAGGGGACTGGGCTTTGATTCCTGGCCAATATGGCTCATGCACAGCTACCATCTGTCCCCCAGTGGAGGCTTTCTTGTTGCTATGATGCTGAACAGGTTTCAGCAGAGCTTCCAGACTAAGACAGACTAGGAAAAAAGACCTGGTGATCTACTTCTGAAAATTAACGGACACAAACCCTATGTGTCACAACAGAATATTATGGCATAGCTTTCAACATCACAGCAACATACAAGACACCTTAGTAAAATAAAAGGACAGATGGGAGGTGGTTTCCTTATCTAAAATATTGGTTATTGTTATTATTATTATTATTATTATTATTATTATTTCTCTACATATAGGTACCATACTTCAACTATAATCATTTTGGTACTTAATTTTGGATTTTTTCCAAATTCCTAAATTTTTGTGTTGTGAAAATTAATTATGAAATAAAACACAGTCTCCATACCCTAGGCACTTCACATTATCCTATAGAGAATGTGCTTTTTGTTGAATTTTTAGAATCATTTAAATAATATTGGACTTTTGAAAATTTTGCTGTTAGTGATAATTTTTTTTGAAGAAGAAAATAATGAATACACAGTACAGTAGGGTGAAATTTTTACTTCAACTTAGGGACAATAGCTTTGGTAAAACTGGCTATACTGTTGCAGCAATTATGAAATAACAGAATTCAAGACATATTAGGCATATTAATAGTGAACTTCTATGGAATATTTTTTAAAGCTAGTATTTAAGTTTCTATCAGGTAGAGAACAAGAGGAGGTAGGTATATGCTCATTATATGAGGGAAAGCAAAATGCATTCAATTATTCAAACATTCATACCTTCATTCTTTAAAGTATTTAACAAATAGTAAACATTTACTGTATTCTGGGAACCATGTTGAAGTTGAAGAAACAAAGCAAGAGAAACTTCTTTTATTCTACAAAAAGATCTCAAGATCTCAGTCTAAGAAGGAAGAGAAATTAATGAATAGGTACTTCTCAAATTGCATGTTGCATACTAGAAGGAAACAGGTTAAACAGGTAATTTTGACAGAGAAGAAGTGGCCCTCTCTGGACAGGCTTCAGAGGAAGTATGAGTGTTGAGCTTGGGAGAATGAATGCAAGCTTTCCAGGTATTAAATGAGGAGTTGGAAGCATGCCCTTCCAAACAGACAGAGTTGTATGATATGTTTAGCAATTTTCAATACTTTCATACAGCATAATCATACTTGGGAGCTCTGGTAGCATAGTGGCTAAGACACTTGCCTGCTAACCAGATGGCTAGCGGTTCAAACCCACCAGCCACTCCTCGGAAGGAAGGTTGGGCAATCCTACTTCCGTAGTGATACTGCCTCAGAAACCCAAGGAGGGGTCGCTATGAGTCAGGGCCGACTCGACGGCACATAACAACAACAACATAATCATACTTTAGTAAAAATTATGCTAGGTGGGAAGGAGTGGGAGAGATGGGGATTCAAGATCTATGACAGGAGAGGGGATTCAAGATCTATGGCAGGAGAGGTAGGTAAGAATCAGATCAGAAAGAATGGTAAGTACGAGACAGTGAGGATTTTGGTTTTTATTCTCCAGGCAATAGGAAGTTATTGAATGGTTTTTTTGCAGGACAGTACAAGGTCAGATTTGCATTTTACAAATATCATTTTAACAGGAGTGGACAATGTGGACAGTGTGAAGATGGGGAAAATTCAGTGTAAAATTGAAAGCCGAGAAAGTAGTTGAGAAAGTATTACAATTCTTCCCAGTTGGATATTAAGAACCTGGGCATATGTAGTAGTAAATGAAATACAGAAGAATAGATATTAGTGAAGTGCCATCAGTAGAACTTGATGGTTAAATAAATGAAAAGTCTTGGAGATAATGAATAGTCTAGAAAAACTCTGAGTTTTGGAATTTAATGACTCAAAATGTATGAAATGTTTTGTACCAAGATTGTTGTTGATGTTAGGTGCCATCAAGTCAATTCTGATTCATAGTAACCCTATACACAACAGAGTGAAACACTGTCAGTCCTGCTGTACTAAGATTGTAGGGGTGTAAATTCTGCGGTTTCATGACACAGGATAAATGTATGTGTTAATTAAGCAATTGTGTGTTGAGATTTGTGGCATATCTAATTTTGTTTGTGTCATAGTGAGTTTTAGGTGTCTTTTTGGGACATATATTTGGAGATGGCAAGTAGGCTTTTGGGTTATATTACTTAAGAAGAGAAGAGTAGGCTCAAGATACATATTTAAGAATTTTTAGGAGGATGGAAGCCACAAACTGAAAGGTTAATGAAAAGATAATGTGTAGAGTAAGAAGAGGTATAAACCAAGTGTTGACCCTTGGAAGACACTGACACAGAAGATGCTCTGCAGAGCTAATGATGAAGTCTGAAAAGGAGATCACTGAAAGACAGGAGAGAACAAAAGGGAATGATTAACAAGGACATCAAAAGAGGAAGGCAGGAATATTATTCCCTTCCTCCTGTTCACTTGAGGTTACATTAAAGCCAACAATCTGTTCACATAAGAAAGCCCTGTCTCTAGCTTCTTTTATATTCTTCACAACTCTAGTGTAGTTTTGACCTATGCATAAACAGAGGCATTAATACACATTTCTCTAAGAAAAATAATCATGCTAAACTGTAAAAATTAACTGGTCATGTCTCCTCATTTCAACAGATAAGAAAATCAATGTAGAATTGGTTTGCAAATATGTATAATACTTGTGGTCAAATACAGTAATGAATAACTGCAAGCAATGTAAGCGATTTTAACTTGTTGATATGCTAGTAAATCTTCTTTGGGATACTCAGGAAATAACTACTTCAAACCAACTCACCTTCCTTCTTTCACCATTTATTCCTCTCCACTGCTCAGATCTTTTCACTATATAACTTAGCTCCTGGTTGGAAATCTCCAAATCATATGGTATGAAGAACTTGGCTTTGTCACTGTGGATGCGCTGAAATGTATCCAATATCCAGGAATCATTGTGCAACCTAAGAACAAAAGCATCTTCTTTTTACACTAAATCTTATTTAATTTTTCCAAACAAAATCTTAAATAATGTATGTTT